CCTATCAAGTTCAGCTTCTCGGTGTGTGTGATTCTCGCGTACGGCCCCTTAAAACTTTTTGAGTGTTCGTTTACACGCGGCCAGTTCCCGCAAAAGTAGCGTACGTACATTGAACAGTCTGTGGGAGATATGCGCCTAGGATCGAAAAACCAGCAAAGATGTGCCTGGTATGCAGAAGATCCTAGTAACATCACTAACATGGAATACCCACATTGATATTTTGGGTGGTCTTAATGATAAAATCTATGCCAAATCTTTCTAACCACATTTGAGCATTTGCAGAAATGAAAATTCGACCTCTTTTTGGTTATTTTCAGAAATATAGAATGGTTTCATTCTAGTTAGTTCTTTTCTGAACTGTTCTTTCCATGTCCCTTTGAAGTAGACAGCATTAATAAGCATCAGACGCGTATCATCATGAATGTTCTCCACACATACCAAATTTTTAATTTTATCTCGCGTCTGCTTTGCCACCCAACTATTGATTTCCTGGAATTATCAACATTTTATGTAACAATTACATATTTTAGTACGCTATATGCATTTTCAATGGAACTATGTTGCGCCTCCTCTGATCTGACCTGAACGATGTTTTCAAAGCAATGTGTGTCGAGAAATCTCGAGAAAATACGGGAAAAAATTTTTTCTATGATCAAATATTTATTGCACTTTATAAAAAACAAAGTACGCGATTTGTAACTGGGCCCTGTTCCAAAGGTTTTAGGACAGTTTTGGAGAAGAGGTTAACGGGCGGCTGTCTTGTATAGGAACGGAGTTGTGGTGCAGTCAGGTTGCAGTGCAACAGTTGAAGTGCGACCGGGTCTTGAAAGAAAAGGCTAGAGTGTGGCCGAAGGGTTAGAAGATTGCGGATTTGGGATTTAGCAGCTGGTATTTCGAGAAAATTGGAACTCCACCCAGCGACGACTGTAAAGCAGGTTTAATTTGTTGAACTGAAAGTGTTTTATTTTTTTAACAAACACTGTTCCCGTTTAATAACAGTATGCACCGGAAGGAAGAACTAGGCTGGTCATGTGGCAAGCAACAAGTATACAAGGTGGGCTGTTCAATAATACCCGCGCAACGCTAAAAGAACATAAGAAAGATGAGCACTAAGATGGAACGGGATCCGCTTGAACGTCGAAATGGAATTATATGAATAGCGATGAGCTCAAAAGTGAACAGAATGGAGAGGTTGCTAGTTGGTGGATCACTGCAAAAAGAAAAGCATCGAGGAACAATCGATCAAGGTAAAACATATTACGTATATCACTGATAAATATTAGAAAGTAAACATAATATGCTTTCGCTAACTTTGTCCGATACTAATAAATCTTTTTCAACTCGCTTTTAAGTAACTCTCGAAAACGGAGCTACAGATAATTTGGCCAGCGGATGGTTGCTGCTGTCGCTTGCTACCACTTAAGCTAGTTCTGGATGCCTCTGCCTCGAAGAGTTTTGCTCCGGAATATGCTAATATGAGTTTAACAACGTAATCAGTGCGAATATTATAACTGGGCTTGTGGGTGATGTGTACTATGGGCTCGTGGATGATGTGTACTATATAAACACAGCTGATAACCGATAACCCAGGTAGCAACACACAAGGGTTTTCAGTGTGGCCATGTATTTCTGCGCGGGTCTTGAAACAAACAGGCCATTAACAGTATTAATGATTATTGCTCTTCAGTTTAACATGTGTACTCATACTGGCAGTGTTTTTACCTTTTTTGCATAGGGAGAGGAAAGAGGCGTCAGCTGGGGCGATAGTGTTGCATTGTGGGGCCGCGTGAAATCCTAACCTCAGAAATGTATGATTACCGTAAATTTTGCATGAAGATGTTGTCTGCAAAATGCACTCTCAAGTTCGTCATATCCGTACGTGAAACTTAGGCATTTATAAAAATTAATTTTACACTCACCTCAGTTTGCTCAGATTTCTACAACGGCGTTTGTCCAGGAATTTTGGTGATGTGACCTAAGAGATAAGAAAACTGAGCAGGCCGTACGTGAACGACGACTTCCTTGTACATGAAATGCACTTGCTGCAACTGTCCCGCAAAATGCGACGCGATGATTTTCAAGAATGCTTCTTCCAGGATGAAATTTTCTTCCACGTAAAGCCGATTTGCTGCATCCAGCGTAACCCCTTTTTCTGCACTGTTAACATCAGCAAACAATGTAGAAATGTAATCCACAAACTCCTCGTCAGTTTGTCCTGCAAATTTGCCAAATATGTCATTCCAAAATGTTTTTATGTCTCGCATTACTGTAAGCTGAACTACGAACGATTGCTAAGTCCTGATCGACTAAAAATGAATAGACCCAGCATAGCTGCGTCCTGGCGCATGGCGGTATCCTAGTAATACCGCTAACACATGGGATTATAATTTGAAACGTTTCATTCCCGTGCAGAAGGTAAAACCCCTCCCTCATGTTCCCTTCAAGAGAAGCGGAAGCATTCGGAAGTAGTCCGAGTGGTAGCGCATGCCAACAACAACCATATGCTAGCAGTAGTTGTCGATAACTATTTCTTTCGCGAGTTACCCTAAAAGCAAGCTAGCCAGTGAGCAAAAATCGCTCATCAGGACCTGTATGGGCAATGTTACATACAGTTATAACTTGCTCACACCAGAATACGAGGACAGTATTTTGCCTTCGAATAACAAAGTCCAGCAAGGCTGTGCTTCGACCTCACTTTTTTCTTTACTCCAGAAACAAGAAAGAAACCGAAGTTCCCACATTGAATGCAAGCAGCGCAGCAAGATGACCACCAAATGATACATCAACGATCACAACCTCTTGAACTTGGGTATAGTAAGCCAGAAAGTGACTGCATGCCATATTTTAATATATGTTACGACTCTGGCAATCTTTGTGCGTTTTTGCTGTGCAGTGCTAATAGCACTGCTACAGTCAGCAAAGACACATATTGTCGAGAGGTTGTCTGTCTGTGTGTGTGTGTGTTTGTGTTTGTGTTCGGAAGCAAGTGAACTTTGTCACTCACATTCGTCTCAGCGACCAGAAAAAGTGAGAGGCTGAAATTTTGAGTATATGTTCCTACCCAGTGTGTCGTCCTTCCGCTTTAAAATTTTCGATCACACGCGCCTAAACCTCGCGTACGGACCCCCGAGAAAACATGCAAATTTCTTTCGCGGGAAACGATTTCGTGAACCAAGTAAGACACAAAGCTGAAACTTTCTGTGCATGTGCAAGCTAAAGACTTCAAATCCAGCTGTCGCGCACACTTGTGCAGTGCGTGTGGCGATGTCAAAGTTTGCAACTTGGTACTGTGCTAACTCGGAAAATTGCCAGGAAACAGTGGCTGAAATTTTGTCAGCATGTTTATCTCCGCACCATATATCAAAAATTAGTACCGACTTGCAGTTGCGCTACGATTTAGGCAATTCAAAGATATTTTTAGCGAAGTACCTATTTCGTTTATCAGATAAGATGCGAGGCTGAAACTTCACTGGGGTAATCTAGTTTCAATTGTTGTCTTAATTCCAACTGGAAGTGAAATCCCTGCAAGTGGTTGCGAGAAATACTCGACTTTCCTGAAAAATCAGAAACGAGCGCGTTTTGCAGCAAACGGCGGCTCTCATCCAAATTTGTAAATGAACACTTAGATCATTTGCATACTAGGATTTTTCAACGATCGAGCAACATTTCCACTTTTACTGTACTGGGAATTTGCATTTCTTCAATAAGCGAGCACTTGCCGAAAAAACATCGGGGATTTCGCGCGAGAAACTGACAATTGTGTACTGTAAGTCCATGCGGCCCTATAATGCAACAACTTCATCCCAACTGACGCCCTTTCTCTTGCATGCCGGAAGAAGCCAGAGCGCGGCCAAAATAAGCCCATGTGTTAGGCTACAGCGCAGGGACTATTCGTGCTACCAGCGATCTGCGAGCTTAGTGCAAAACGCACGATCGCGCCGGCAAGCCTGATGCGTTCCAGACTGCGTTTGAATGTGATTGTAGTCGCTCAGAAACACGGACCTCTGGCCAACACTTCGGCCATTTCTTCTTTTGTTTTACCGACAGCTCCAACATAGGTCATCGTTAGGGCGAGAGCAGCTGAGAACGGTGAGATAACTGCTGATTCGCTGCTTCTGGTCGCCGCTTTCAATAGATTCAATGCAAAATCCGCCTGGACTTCATCCATACCGGTAGTTCTAGAAAGATTATTATTCAAATAATTGAATTCCCCAAAAAATTAGTGTACTATCTGCAAAATCGGATAACTGCTCATATTTCGTTTAGGCCGCGCAACATACAATCGTTTTTGGAGTTTTTTTTTTTTTTCTTTCGGCTCAAAATTCAAAAATC